GAGCAAAACTCTATGATTAATTAGTTCCCACCGTGGTCGGCACTTATATGTTCCGGTAAAAATTAATTTACTCTTTAGTTAGTGTGCGACTATGAGCTTGTAGGCTTGTACGATTTCATGTCTTAAAAAGACAATTCTTTACAAGAAGGGCCAATGGGTATGTCCCGCCAATTCGTCTACCCAGACATCGTGCACTGCTGCTTTAGATTATTTTTCTTGGAATTTATCTTTGCTTATAAGGGTAAATTAGGATTACATATTTCCCTTTTAAATTTAGAATTAGAGTTCGTTTTTATTTAATTCTATTGAATAAAAATATTAAAATGAGATAATTTTTCAAAAATCCAAATTGCTATTTTATGGAATTAACATTTGGTCCATCAAGTATGAATTATCGATATTCGTGAATGAATCAACGAGTCTTTTGACCGTCAAATATTTGATATTCTTTGTAAAGTATCAGCAATTATTTAATTATATTTTTTATTATTGCTAATTTATCACTTAACGCTCTATAGTATTGCATCTTGATATAAAAGTATAAATAACTTTGGAGGACTTTCACTTACTTATGGGAACGAAAAGAATGAAATTTTGTGAAAAAAATAAAAATAAAAATAAAAATCGTGGATTTTGTAAGTTTGACACGATTAGGTATGAGCAACATGAGAACAAATTTACCACTCCCACCCTCTGTCTTGATCTCAATCTTGACTTTTGGAATAGAAATTTATTTAAGAATTACAATAGAAAATATTGAATTTTCTCGAGAATAAAATACATACACCAAAAATATACAAAGTAACATGTATAATCATATAATCCTTTTGGTCTATTGAACTCAACTCAACAAAATTTATCAAAGACCACCGAAACAATTAAATTATAAATTTTGTCGTCATTTTCAATTATATCATATTGAAGACAATAATTAAATGATAAATATGCGGGTTTGCTCTTAATTTAGTAACATTCTTTAGCTATCCTTAAATTACAAAATTCATGCACACATCAGTAGTTAACGAATCTCTGCAGTAAAATTTTACAACTTTTCACTAGAGAATTAGGAATAATTACAATTAATCATACATAAACATGTTTGATTAAACTATAATACTCAAAAGCAATCACATTAATATGCAGAAATCCCTCCTAAAGTTTTAGGTATAAAGGCTGCAAAAAATTAGGTTTGCTTTACGAAAGGGAGACAGCATACAGATTATTGAAATGA